CACAAAATCACTGTTCCACGCAGTGCTTCGGGCTCCGCATGCTTTCTTCAAAGCAATCATGTCCGACACAATCGTGCATGGCAGCGAAGCAGAAAGTACTGTAAAACACAGCATTGTTGCAACAGAGCAATTTTGCCAAAAACGCGCTTTTGAAATTTGGGTTTTTGTAGTACAGGCGAAATGCTTTTCGGTCGAACTGCACGAGGAAAATCCATTAAAGAGTGGATCCACCCTTAGACCCTAAACCCAGAACCCTAAGCCCTGAACTAGTAGTTTCATTTTCTTTTCCACTATCCTGATATGCCGGAGCGATTCGATACAGATGAATAGTTCCCGGAAAGCAACCGGCATTTGGAAGACAGAAGACATGCCTTAACTACCTCGAAATGGAAGTTTCCCACAATACGGGGCATCCAATAATGTAGACCCCAACATATTCAAGTACTATAGTCCTTACTATAAAGATCCCCACGATAATAGCACTAATTTTGAGCAGCTTCCAAATTACGTAGGCCGGGTATTCTTGAGTGCTCTTTCTGCCCTTACAATTTTGAAGAGTATAGGCTGAGTGTCATTGTGCCTTCCTGCCAGCGTAAGAGGTGTGCAAGGTGTTTCTTTCGCAGCTTGCTGCGTTTACCCTTCAAGGTCTGAATGCCCATAGAATATACATATCATTGGGCATTTTCTTAGTCTTGCAAGTCTGAATGATACATGTGCCAGCACACGTCAAGAAGCAGAGTCTGTAAAGGTGCGGGAGGTTTTCTTCGGAGCTTGCTGTGCCCAAAATCCTCTATGAGCTTCCCATGCCTGAAGTCGTTGTGGACGTAATTATCCCACACTCCCCCCACCCCGTTTAAACAAAGGCTGCCAAAATTGCGGAGTTCCGTTAAAATCCAAAAACGGGCTTTTGGCCGAAAAAGCTCAAGCTGGAAAAAGCTACGAAACCCTGCGCAAATACCAGTGAATTCGTCCAAGGGCCCAAGAACAGAGCTCTTAAAACATCAAGCAAAAGCAGACTTTCAGAAAAGGTACCAACGGCCAAATGTATTGCAAAAACCAGTACTTCAGGCTGCTTCGACCACAAGAGTGCAAAAAAGACGAAAAATCCCGACTGGCAATTGGAAGAGGAAAAACAAATACATAACAGATTATGTAAAGAGGAAATGCTGTAAATAGCCGTGAAAATGTGCACAGCGGCTGTCATGCTCAGACAAAGAAGCATACAAAAGAGAGTCGTCAAATACCAAGCCTAGTAGTACTACTATCCATATTAGCATTAGTACTAGTACCAAAACTAGTACCAGTCCTAGTACTAGTAGTAGT